GTGGGGGTGAGTGTGAGAGAGAGAGTGAGAGAGAGAGAGAGAGAGAGAGAGAGAGAGAGAGAGAGAGAGAGAGAGAGAGAGAGAGAGAGAGAGAGAGAGAGAGAGAGAGAGAGAGAAAGGTCCACGTGCAAAAGGAGTGTGTGTGTGTGCCATGCTCTCGTCGGGTCTCAAAATCATCTGACATCTGACATCTGACATCTGGCAGGTTGGGCATGGTCACTGGCTTCGACCTTTCATCCATCAACTACCAACTGTCAGTGGTCGTTCTGCTTCTCTCATCCTCAACCCCCGTCTACAATAACTCAGTGCCGCTCTGCATAAACTCAAGCTACATCACTGAATAAATCTTCAACAACCTGATCGCATATATACATTTACTCTCGTGCCCGCCACCGCCGCCGCCGCCGCCCCCTGGACCTGGACCTGGACCGCCATTGCCGCGCCGTGCGTTTCCCTCGTCCTTCCCTCCTTCTCACTGGCCGAATAGCATTGCCTTTGGGCTCTTGGCCTGCTTCTACTTCTTGCCCTCCTGGCTCCCACACCAGCTTTGGTCTGCCCGAGGTGAGCTCACGCTGTTCTTGACTTGAGGTGTCGGCCTGGAGCGAATCACTGCGCGACTTTGGCTCGACAGCCGCCTCTCTCCGTTGTATCGCTGGCGTCTGTGAGGTGCCCGACCCCAAGACATGACCCTCCCTTGACCCATATACGTCTGAGGAGGGCATGTTTTCCTGGTTTGCCGTTTTGGCTCGTGGCCAGTGATGGAACCTCCACTGCGTTGCCACTTCCATCGCACACACATGCCTGTTTCTTGGTGTCTGTTCGCGCTCGTCGCTCACCCCGCCTTTCTCGGATCCGTGCACGCACCTTGGTGCTTGCAGCAGCAGCGTAGGCTTTGGCCCGGCCTTGAGTGCCTGAAATCCAACCCGCTTCTCCTGCCCTCACCCCCACCGGCATCATGAGTTTGCTCCAACAAATCTTGGAGACAATGTATATTGACCCTGAGCTCCTGGAGGAGCTCAGCAAGGATCAAAAGGAAGTGCTGTTCCACAAGATGCGCGAGGAACAACTCCGCCGCTGGCACACCCGCAAAACCCAAGACTTTGAAAGGTCCGCTGCTGCTCGTTCTGGCTGCCTTTCAACATCATCCGCCTCTCACCTCCATCGCACCCATTCACTTGCTGTTTCTCTCGCCTCCTTTGTTCTTTTCCGTCTCCTTTCCTCCTATACCACCACCCACCAAACACACCAGGCTCCAGGGCAAGAAGCGCGTGCCTCGGCTCAAGTTTGCGCCCAGTGTCTTCATTTACGAAGATGATGATGTCGACAAGGTATCACCGCCCGCCCCCCTTTCCCCATGGTTGCCTCATCACGCACGCTCAGATCCTCCATGCCCACTGGGTTGCTGGCTGAGCAGAAAGCGAATGAAGCTGCAAAACGCTTGGAAGAACGGGAGAAGGAACGCGAGGCCGCCCAAATGCGCGCCGACGAGGAACAGGCTCGGTATGTGCGCCATGTGGTTATGGTTGACCTTCACGCACACAAGTCCCTGCACATTCGGCATGCGCCTGTATGACACGTTGTCCCTTTGATGGCCTTTGCAGCATCCTGGCAGAGATTCAGATTCAGGAAGAAATCGAACGTCAAACGGCTGAACAAGCTCGCAAAGCCGAAGAGCTGCGCATTCGCGAGCTGGAAGAGCAACGCAAGCTTCAGGAAGCCGCCCTTCGCGAGCGCCAAGCACAGATTGAACGCGAACAATACATGTCTATGAAAGAGGCCCGCCTGGCTGCCGAAGCCGAGGCCAAGGCGCAGCGCGCCCGTGAAGAAGCCGCCCGCAAACTCGCCGAAGAACGTGCCCGCGAAGAAGCTCGCCTCGAAGCCGAACGTAAAAAAGCTGAAGCCGAAGCCCAGCGCCAAGCCGAGGCCAAACAACAAGAAATTTACATGTCCATGCGCGAAATGCGCGAACAGGTATGCCACTTGAACGTCTTGGCTGGCTCAACCTTTGCCGCCCCTCACCCCGCATGCTCTGTTCCAGGCCCGCAAACAACGCGAAATGGAAGAACGTCAAATGGATCAGATGTTTCAGGAGCAAGAATCTCGCTCCAAGCAACACGGTATTGGCCTTGACAGGAAAAGAAGAAGAAAAAGAGGGAAAGAAAGAAGGGTGGAAGAAAAGAAAATGAGAACAAGGAAAAGCCATTGGTACCTTCACGGGCCTTGCTTGCTCTCTCAACCAACAATAGAGGCCGAACAACGTGCTGCTGCCGAACGTGCCCGCAAGGCAGCCCAAGCTACCGAGTGCGTACTCCAGACACTGACACGAAGAATGCTTGCTTGCACATCCCCACACCCTGACTTGCCCTCTACTGACCCTGTTGTGGTTGGTCATGTCTCTGGTCCCCACCAATTCTATTGCTGGCAGGAACATCTTCAAACAGCTCGAGGCTCACAGCAAACCAGCAGGTCAGCTTCCTCAACCTTGTTTTCAGCTCTTATTGTTCTGTTTATCCTCATTCGTGTCTGTTGTGTCCACAGCCCCTCAAGTTGCACGCGCCACCAACATGGCCCGCTCGGCCAGTCTGTACGTCCAGTATTTCAAGGGCTTCCTGTCGTGCCCGTGCCGTGTCTGGTTGCCGTACTCTGTCGTGCAACGCTGATGTCGTGTAATCCATCGGTGACAATGACGTTGACGCAGGGCAAAGCGACCTGCATCCCCGCCCCCAACCGGTCCTGGTCACTCCAACACACTGCCTCTGCCGCCGCGCAAGTACGTTCTCGCATATCTCGCTTCTTTTGCATGTTTCCGATCCCCTGCTTTTGCCACCTGGCTGGAGTATCAGCACGTCCACGAATGCCCCGCCTATAACTGACTTTTCACTGGCACCGTTCATCAGGGGTTCGATGGCTGACGTCGGTGCACGACCGAGCAAGCCTAGTAGTTTGGAGGATGTGCTGCACTGGTTTCGCACGTCAGAAATTCCTCGTGGTGTCGGAAAATCAGCCACGGTCCGTGCCACCATGCCCAAGTCTTTTTGCTGGACACCTGGTGGTTGTTGGCCCAGTCGATTTGACGCATCTATGCTCACGCACGATTGACCCATCTTTGTGCATGTCCAACAGGGACGTTGGGAGAATTGGTTTCATGGCCCGATCTCACGGCCAGAGGCTGAAAGGCTCCTCAAGGGCAAGGTCAGTGCTTCTCCGCACCGATCGCACACGCCCGATCAACGGACCTCACCATGGCAGACTCATCATGTCTTTCTTCCCTGCCTGACTTCCCTGCCTTGATGTGATTGTGTTTCGCAGCCCAAGGGTGCCTTCTTGCTCCGCATTTCCACGCGCATCTGGGGCTACACACTCAGCTTTGTTGACTCTGACCGCTACAAACATTTTTTGGTTGATGCCTCGGATGGCAAATATTCAGTGTTCGGCGCCCAATCCAAGTGTGTTGACCCGTCCCTCGTTTTCAGCCGGCCATGAGCTTAACCTTGCTACCGCATTTTTTCACCGCAACCTTTTCGCACATCCAACCCCCCCGTCATACTTTGTAGCGCGACTCACATGAGTTTGTCGCGGCTTGTGGCTTTTCACAAAAAAGTGGCCGTGTCCAAGACCGGCACCATGCTCACCGAGCCTGTCGGCGAGCTGCAAGGCAATGCAAGCTTGCTTCAAGTTGTCATGTAAATGACGCCAGACCAGCGTTGTCTTGTTTCATTATCTCATCCGTGTTTTCTTGGCTTCTTTGTTCTTCTTCTTCTTTTTTTTTTTTTTCTTTTGTGCGTGTTTGTGATGCCTACGCTCAAGTATGTGGTACATGCCTGCCTTTATCGTGTGGACCTAGCTGGCTTGAGTTGCGCGTGCGCCAAGAGCGTTTGCTCTTGCTTCTCTGTTCCATTCGCGCTTATTTTGGGAACCCATCAATGTGTAAACAATTCTATCACTTTTTGCTGATTGCCGTAAGATTCGCCGGTTCACACAGCCGGGCTTGCATTACAAACAAAAGGTTCCGTGTTTCTCTAGACCTTACGCGCAACCATAACTACAAGTAAATAATGGCCGGCGCCACCTGGTGGGTCGACACATCAAGCAGGACAAGTTAACGTGGTAATGCCCCAGCCACCATGCACTTCAACGCACGTCGATCCATCGACACAACACATGGTTAGGCGAGTGCCGCCTGGGATGCGGGCCATCACCTGCCCCGGCGCGACCGTGAGCGTGAAAGCGCCGGCGAGCGTCGGAAGGGTCACGCTCGTGTTTCCAGCGGTGCCAAGTGCCTGCATTGGTGTCCATGTTGCAGTCATACAGCCGGGCGTCGCACATGCAAAGCCTGATGGACAGCAAAGTTTGCATCAGCAACATCAGCGCGGAAGTCGAAAAACGCCATCGCTTTGCAGGCTTGCAATACGCACCCAACAGACGAACAAGAGCAGCGACAAAGGTCGAGCCCCATGGGTGACTCCAGGTCAAGTTTGGCTTATCTGCCACATTCCAAGCCTGATGTTTTGCGCACAGGCCCAAGCAGCAAGTGTGCTTGCGTGAGGCAAAAACAGAGAGGATGCAGTCCAACCCAAGCTGATTTGCGTCTTACTTCCAGAGTGGTGGTGGCGTTGTTCTTGAGCATATCACACCAGCTATTGCTCGAGCAATCGGACAGCAGCCGCCACAGTGCCTCACCCGACGTGTCTTGTCTGATGTTGTCAAGAAGAAGCCACGTGAAGACTTGATTTCTTCTGAGCAATCGATGGACGAGAATAGGCAGGTTGTGGCAACAACTTACACAGCCAGTGCCCCCACAACGGCCAAAGCTCCGTAGACACTTGGGATCATTCCTGTACGATTCCACAGAGCGGCAGCGTCTGGTTCACACTGCGAGCCATTGGCCATGCCCAACCAAATTGCAAAGTAGGTTGAATGCACAGCCGCATGTGACACATTGACGCCATCGCGATAGAGGCAAGTGGAAGTGTCCAGCATGGCTGCATTGTAGCCACGGCGTAAATTGGCAGCCAATGGCCCTAGGCTAGCGTTGGTTTGCCCTGCCGCTGCCGAGAGGCGCTAGTACGAGCCGCAGAGACGAGTGAGGGTGGTCGATGTCGCACTCGCACAACGCATCGTGCAATGTTGCAAACACGTGTTGGGAGGGCACAACGTACATGAAGCGCACCCAGCCCTGCAGCCGCATACGCGTTGACAATGCTATTGCAATCATTGAGAACGTAATTGTCCCGTGCCGCCTGAGGCCAGTCAATCACGTCTCGGGTGCCTGCCATGCGCGGGCACTATGCACAGGCGTCCAACGGTGACAGATGTGAGCTAAACAGGGTATCTTGTATCAAATCCAGCTTGTCGAGGCCAATGACGTGCCTGTGTAAAGTCAACCAGGCCTGTTTTCGGGTTGATGCAATCTGCTTGCGTATTGGCCCACAAGAGCTGGAATTGCTGTTCATAGAACGAATTGTCGAGAGAAGCATTGTAAAGCAGCTCGGCTGTTAAGACGGTCATCTGCGCCCCCATTAGCAGCAAGGGGGTGAAGAAAATCGGCGCGGCAAGTGCCGTGAGGACTTGTCCATTTGGAGAAACAGGTTTGTGCGCCGTGGTCTCACTTGACGCCATTCAGTGGGCCAGGTCGGATTATTCAAGAGATGGGCCAGCGAATGCGTGCCCCACTACCAAGAAGGCGTCAATTGAAAGTGGACAGTAGAGTCATCAGCTGGACTACGCAAGCAAACAGCGACCAGCGATTTCTTCTTGGTCTTCTGCCAAGTGATGCGAGCAAGACACATGACTGACCAGATAGTCGTCCGTAAAGTAGTTGGCCAACATGGCAGTGATGTACCTAGAGCGAGAGTGTCAAGTGAGCATCGTCAGAGTTCGAAGGCGCAGATGCTGCTCGGTGCGGCCCAAACTGCTCGCCCACAACCCATCTTACGCATCGCCTTCATATGGCAGTCGCTCACGAGTGTTGCTATCGGTCATCGTGTCGAGGGAAGTGCGAATCACGGTGTTGTGTGCAAGTTGCCAAAGGCTCTGTAAGGGTTCTGGTCTACAGAGGGAGTCCACGCAGCATGAGACTCGTAGGTATGACTGATCGTGAACATGGAGCAGAACGCCTGGCGGGTCAGAGTGGTGGGTGTACCCAGCAAAAGTAGTAGCGTTGACATCAAAGGGGTATCGCACGCTCCAAGCCTCGATGTTGGGTGACGGCACCTTCTCCGTCTGAGAATCGGGTCGATGGTGGTGAGTCAACAAGGTGTTTGAATCAAGCCTAGGCCGTCAGTACCGTGCCACACGACTTACCGTGCACGATGTGCATTGGATGGTGCCATAGCGGAAGAGGACGTAGTCGTGCATCTCAAAGTAGCCCGTTTCCGCGTCGGGCGGCATTGACCTGGCCACTCACGCCCACCTGGAATGAGTGATGCGTTTGGCCTACCAAGAGACCATGCCAGTAAAAAGCGTCGTTTGCCTCACCATAGAAAAGTGTAGTTATTTCCCGTTCGCATGGGATCAAGTACATGCCCTTTGGCATCGGTAAGTTCTTCGCCCAATCGGACGATAAACTCGCTGTGGGCAGGTGCCTGCGATCGACACAAGGCAAATGAGAAGACAAGGAAGGAGGCGCGTATCTAGAGTAGTTTGTCACAGTTCCGTCAAGCACAAAGTGCAAGGCTAATCTTTTTATGGAAAAAGCATGTCAGGAGCCTTGCGTACATTGAGTTGGACCTGGAAGCCCGCCATGATCTCGGTGGCAAAGTCAAACGCCCAGGTGTATGTGTCAATTTGGGAGACGCGGGCCTGTGCTCCAGTTTCAAACAGCAAAGGCGGCGTGGTTTTCGGCTGTGGAGGCTCGGCCCATGGCGACTGGAGCACTGGGGCATTCCAGTGCGCGTCGGCAAACCCTGACTTGGTCCAACCTAACGAGCGGAAGGAGGTGGGCGCATGAGGCTGGGACGTGAAAGCTGGTTGGTGCAGCTTGAAAGGGAGTTGATGCCTGACTGTGTGGCGTGAAACTGTTTGCACGGCATGACTTGGCGGTGCCGACATACCTAGAGGGAAAGCTGCGGCCATGAGGTTTTCTTGGGGTTGGGTATAGGTTGGGCCAATGGATGGTCCTGGATTAAAGTAAGAATCGGCATTCCAGGCTTTCCAAGAGTCATCCAAAGCAAGGATGGTTTGTGTGCCATCCGGTAGGTGGGCGATCAGAGCGAGGGCCACGCGTTGGGCGCCCGAGGTGGCGTGGTAACTTTGAAGGGCGACGGTGACGGGTTGGCCTCGCGTGGCTGGCATCATGGCCAGGGAAACATCAAGTGTATCATACAGGACGCAGCTGGTATTGGCATTGGGGCAGGTGCTACGCCCAGGCCCCATGGTCAACCAGGTTCCCTCGATGCCCAGCCTGTAAGCACCTGGCAGGAAGCATTGACATCAGAGAGATGGTGGTGTCGTTTGCAGAACTTTTGCTCGAGTGGAAGGAGGTGAGGGCTATACCAAGTATTTTTTGCAAGCTGCCTTCGGCGCGTGTCGCCACCAGGGCAGTAATGGCCACAGCCCCTTGCGCTGCGGACCAGGTCAACGTCTTGCGGAAGAAGACATAGCTGAAATAGGAGAAAATATGAGCCAGTGCACTCTTAAGTACACATGCGGCTGTGCATTGATAGGCGGGCTGTTGTCGATCCTACCTGGAGTCGTTGAGCCAAACGGGCACGGCATGGGTGGACCAAACGTCGGGCGTAGGCTGCGTTGTCAGCAGGAGGGGGCTGGACCAGGCTGTGACCCCACCTGCGGTGGGAAGACGGCAGGGCGGTTGTCAGTGCGAGATGGCAATCTTGGGCCACGGGTGCTCGGTGCGTTTTGCAAGCCGGCAAACCTTGCGCTGACAAAAAGACGCGAACACGAATGAGGTAAGCGGCGCCTGATGCCAGATCGGGGAGGGCCGTCGGGAAGGGCTGATTGAGGGTGACAGAGGTATTGGTGGGCGCGGATTCAATAACACTCTGGTTGGGCATGGTCAACTGAAGTTGGTAGGCGGATTGAACACAAGGCATCGTTTGATTGGCATTGCCCTGGCCACACGCTTCGCTCGAGAGTCGCCAATCCAGACGCGGTCGTGGCGACACGCTCTACGTTCACATGTCAGGCATATGTGAGATCCTTTGGGCAAGAAGCAGCGGACAGGGCAGAAGAGACAAGACGAGCAATCGGACGGAGCAGCATGCAAGGGCAGAGTAAAAGGGCAAATGAGGAGCTTGAAAGAACGGCGCCTGACCAGAGCTGGAGATGCGCGAAGATCGGCTCGCAGCGCAAATGGGGCTGGCAACTCTGATGCTGCTGCCACTGGCGCCTTTTGCAGTGCTAACAGCCCCAACCAAAGGGCTGACACTACAAATCGAAGCGGCTGCACCCCGCACCCTGCCATGTTGCAATCCTAATTCATCCACACCCAAGCCGCGTGAGCCTCACAGCAAGACATACCAACGCGCACACAGACGATCCCCCAAGCAACAGCACGCCGAGCCCTGGTCAAGTGGGTCAAGCTCCCGAGCCTGGAGCTGTTGAACTGCCGAGCTGCCGAGCCGTCCATGATTGTTGTGTCTATCTCCAATACCTACCCCCCC